TGCATGCCCACCAAGCCACACTCTGACCACTGGTGCCCTATGAATGGGAGCACTGTCATCCTGGAGGACTCCACAAACCATCTAAAAAAAGAACGCCGCACGATAGTATGAATATGACCACACTGGGCAGTCTCATACACTACCAGTCAAAAGTTTTTGCACACAATGACATTTTCTGCATTTGTTACTCACGTAACATTTACTAAAAATACACTCAATATTCTTCGCTAAGAAATAAATGTACAGTATGTTCACCATTCAAGTACCTTTATTAGCAAGAAAATTTGATTCGTCGAAAGTAACCTCTTCTAGCAGTGACAACAGCAGAGAAAATGAGGAAGTCTTTCTACAAGGGACATTAAATGCTGCTCTGTTTCATGGGATGAAAGTTAACTAGTGCATTTAATGTTAAAGGACGGCCTAGAATTTGACTATGCCATCACCACACAACCAGTTACCAGGATGTCAGACATGCATTGCTACATACTCTTTCCATGTTATAAAGCAAACTTGTTTTATTTGACTTATATTTTCATTTATGGTTGTTCGTTCAAATTTCCAACGCTTAAGAATAAAAACACTGCAGTTTATGAAATGACTGTGAAAACCGTTGGTGTGAAAAACTTGGGAGAGGTAGCGTATGTACCGACCTTCACTCTGCCTTTCTAAGTGCAACGAAACCACGCCAGGAAAATGCAGCCCACACTAGAACCCTTCAACATGGTAAGGAAGACAACCCTACAAGCTCGTTTTTGCGTGAGCCACATGTACTCAACCTCTGTTTTGAAGATGCATCTGACTGCAGGACCGTTTCCACTGATTAACAGGAATTTAAGTGTAATACAGAGTTTATGCACCAAAACCTTACCACAGCATCCATCTAGCAAGGGATGCACTGCAGAGAACTGCTTTGTCACCAGTCTCCTTACCCAAGACTCCATTCAGAAGTCCTAATGCATAATAAACTTCAATTATAAATGTAATCGGCTATGTTTAACATTTACATCTAGCACACCTAAAGCAATCCTCGTGAGTTTCAGAGTTAGATTACAATCAGGACATGGATGTTTCTTCTGCAGTAAGAAGCTTCTTTGTCCTCTCTATTCTGCCCTTTTTGAAGGCCAGCATCTGCCACAAGCAGCTTGGCTACCTGTTGTGCTTCATTCTGCGGCGAGACGAGCGATGCACTCAGGCAGTCATGTACTGTAATAACCACTTAAAGAGACAGACCTGCAGAAAAACACCTTTTTTAGCCTGGAAATAGGGGACAGCAGAATCTATGCAGCGTCGTGTGTAACAGCCACTTCAGCTGACAGCCTGTCCAGCACACATTTTGTCCTTTGCAGCTTTACCCTTCAATGGTAAAGGGGGAAAAAAAATACCGACGTATAAGTGATGACTGGAGCAGCTCCAGGAGTCAACGGGAGATGCTCTTCAACAACACTCAGTGCATAAGCTTCATTTCATAGGTGACTGCAGAGAATCCAATAAAGACCGTAGGACTGTAGAAAATCTAAAGAAAATCTACAGTATGGTAAAGGTACAGGCAAAAACAGACAAAATGAACACTATGTACATTATCCTGTAACCTGTAAGTAAATCACACCTCACTTCTTTTCCGGTCCCATAGTCACGTATTGACACAGGGTCACATTAATTTGCTCTCGCCCACTCCACTAAAAACAGATCCTTTAAACCAGACGAAAAGGCGGAGCCACACAGGCAAATGCACAGGTGTGGGCTTTTAAGAGGTTCACTTCTTCAACAAGGCTCATGACAGACGTGAGACATCCACCCACTCCAGCATTAAGAGGAAACCATTGAGTTGAGTGCAATGAGACACGGATTTAATGTGACTTTCAGGGTTGGTTAGTAACCCTGTTGACCATCTGATTACAATGAAACCGATCTACCATAAGCATATGCAGGATAATACTGCTTTAGGCGACTTCATATTTGACCAGCTCCTGAGAGAAGACATTCTGAACTCAAAAGTGGTCCACAGTCTTTCACCAACGTCCTATTGAAAAAGATCACAGGAGTGCGACAGAAGAAATGGACACAGAAACTACGGAAACTACTCTATGGGGGCTATAAAGCTTCTTGCAGGCTCCAGTGCTGGTTCTGCACAGTTTTTCTCCAACAAGGAGACAACGGAAGTCAAATAACACAAAAATCCCATTGACAGTTTCCATTACGCCTGGAAAGTTCACTTTACAGCCAGTTCTCTATTGCTTCCTTGAGAAAACAATGCAAACATCAGAGAGAAGAGTAATTATGCAAAAAGCAAAAAAAAAAAAACATCACGCTTGAGACAGGAGGGCAGGGTTAGTGATACCACATAGCTAAAGACAAAAGGCCTGCCCAAGGCTGTATACTGTGTACATTTCAGTAGCACATCTGAATGTGGGGAATGGAGCCACAAAGGCTGGGAACTCAGGAGCACACTGCAAGTGCAACGAGTCAGGGATAGTTTGTTCATTATTGATCTGTGGGAGAGTCTCTCCTCAGTCAGCGATGACCCCCCTCCACCCTGAAATTTATGCCCTCTGTGATGACAGAGGGAAGGATGCCCCCAACTGCTGTAAAAGCCTGCCAGAAGTAAAGAGCAAACCTACGAGGACTTCACCAAGCCATAGAGATAAAGTCTTCATTTTCCAAAGCAGAGAATCCAGTTTGGTCACTGCCTAGCCTTGTGGGTAGTCTAAGAACAGACTATACTTGGATCATATTTTGGAGAAAGTCAATATAACAGAACTGGAGACAAATCATTATAATACAGGTAATTCTTTAAAAATTGGCTACAGAAATACTGCCAAGTAGAAGAAGGAGAAAGGAAAATGTCAAAACTGATCGACAGAACAACCAGCAACATTCTATTCTACTCCATCCAAAGGTGTTTGGGAGCAATACAACTGTGTTCACTTCCTAACTGATAACTTTGTTAGCAGGTTGAAGTTTCCTGAATCTATTAACTAGGGAGTGCTGGTCAAACGCCTTGATTTCTCTCTAATCCTTTAAGCCCTATAAAGAACAGACACCATGATGATGATGATGATGATGATGGATGATTATGATGAGATTGAAGCAGCACAGTTGAAGAACTATAGAAAAACTCTTAAGGATCATTCCCGGTCAAGTAAAACAAAGCCAGTTGCATTGAAAATCGTTCGGAAAATTATACCTGAATCTTGCTTCAGTGTTCCTTTTAATTTAGCTAATATTTAGGTGTAGGATCATGTACTAACAAGCTTCACCTTAGAAAGATAAGATGGATTTGACATACAGCTGCCACACAGATTTGGTCCCTTTCGTAACACGTGTGATTTGTGGAACCTGTTTCTAATTTCTCATGGAGCCAAACACGCCACGGCAGACTGTAAAAGTCTCTCTTTCTGTAGCGTATAATCAAGCAATATAATGGCAGCAGGCGAAATGCTGGTAGCACGCACTCCGTGACACTACATAAAACTACTACCTTCATTAAAAAAACACCACCAGAGAAAATTAACAGCTAACTGTTAAGTAATAGACAACCTAATCGCAGTGGACTCAAGAAAATAAAAATAAAAAAGCACCAAGAGCCAAGACAAAAAGCAGCATATAATGAACTAGAATGTGTGACTTTTCCAATATGGGAAATGGTAACTAATGCCATGACCTGTAAGGACATTTCTGTGCCTTGAGACAACACAAAATGACAGGCAATGACAATGCAGTCTCCTACTTGATGAATTTGTAGTTGCCCGTAATTACAAGTTATATACTTCATCAAGCTGCTAATTTGTGGACAAGACAGAACAATGACCAAATATGGCTTCTTGGTAAAACCCACATATAAACCGTTTAAACTCCTAACACTAACCACCTACAGTTCACTGTAGAAGCAAAGTTGTTGTTTTGGAACATTTTAATGTGATAAGAAGTGCAAGAAGCTGGGCATTTCTATTATTTATCTTGGGGGGAAAAAACCTGGGAAATATTTCAAACAGGTATCCATCACTGGGGGGGGGGTGCCAGCCTCTTGATATAAGGAAAACCCAGACACTATCAGTACATGATCACAATTTCAGAACCAAAAAGCCACAATTACTACAACAATCCACTGTCCGAGAGACAAGGGGCACTGAAGAGGAAAAACTATACTGTAACACTGACCAAGTCTGATCTGTCTTTGCCTGGAAAAGCCCAGAAAGATCCAGCAATCAAGGAGCCCTTTTCACAAAATGGTAACGTCAATAGCCGCACACAATCAGTAAACAAATGCAGCTATTTCTGAAAGAACCCCCATCTCCATTTAGCACCAGCAATTTAAATTATTCTAGCGTGTAACACTTTAATTGTGGCAGACAAAGACAATGTCTAAGACACAAAGGAACTTGTGGCAGACGGAGAACTGCAAGTAATTTCTATGCTGCCATAGTAAGATGATGTGATAAGTATTTTGTGAGAGTCTGCTTATGTACCTAAAGGGAGAGATGGGAAATTAGTGGGTGTAGCAAACAAAAACAAAAAAAGGCTAATTTAACTGCTTTCCAGACACATTGCTGAAGTTTAATTTGCAGTCAAAAGAGAAATCGAGGGGGAAAAAAAAGAAAATAAAGGCTGTACAAAAATCTTGGTATTATCTCTAACTGTCATTACACTGCCAACTTTAATATTACAATGATCTGTCTGACTTTATTGTTTTTCTTATGAAATGTTGGCATTTTAGAGTAGTTTGCAGGCTAAGATCTCTGGTATGAGGCAGCATGTGAATCACCAGGTTATCCCTGCTACACCTCATGTTTATGAGTATCGTAACTCTGACACTCTAATGACATCCTCTCTGAATGAGATCCTCTTACTCAAAGGTCTGCATCTCAGGAGGGGAAAATCAACAGGCATGTTGCGAAGGCGGCTGGCTTCCCTTCAGCGCCTTGAATAGTTGCTGTTACGTTCATGCACCCACCTCCCCGTGTAAATACGCGCCCTTACTGTCCTGCAGCACCGTGACTCACGTGTCATGTGGAAGATGGCGTCGCAGGCACTGATGTGCGACAGGAAAGCATTTCCTAGGCCCTGCCCGGCGTGAGCCCCCTTCACCAATCCAGCGATGTCCACGACGTTCAGGAATGCTGGAACCTTACTACACAGGATACAGCCAATTTAATTAGAATGTAAGCAATACATTACAAAAGTGACCACATAAGCTATATGGCCATATAAAAAAAGACATATTCTAGAACTTTCAATCCAATAAATACTGCTGGAAAACATCCCCAAAAATATCATTCTTAACTTTGAATAAAAGTTACACTGTAAAGCTTTGGACCCATCTATTAAAACTAAATATTCACCCAAACCTTCACAATTAAGGCAAGGATACTTCTGTAAATGTTCATTTACCCAATTTCATTAGATATTTATGCAGCTCCTCTCCAGAGAAACTACACTTTTCCGGCAGTATCCATTTGGTATTCAGTGGTATTCAAATTTTTCAATGCATAAAAAACAAGTCAGTCCTTCAAAGGTAAGTTCTATTAGAAGAAAGTGACATGTCCATACCTGGCAGGCTTGTGGAAATGGCAGAGAAAATCAAAGCGTTCATCAGGGATGGGCACCCTGCTCTCGTTCGGGTCGATGGTGCAGAATGGGAAATTTTCTGCCGCAGCCTGGCTCTTCGTGAGCACATTGAAGAAAGTTGACTTCCTGTCATCGAAATACATTGTGGGAATTAGCACCTGGAACATGTATATATGAAACAGCCACTAAAGGCTTTGTGTCCACTACATGTGGAGAAATTAATGGACAAATATGCCACCAGATAATATAAAAAGGTAGCAGTAATTTGACCTTGTTGTTACATCAAAATAAATGGATATTAGAAGACAGAATGATATTCACCACCACGCACAGCAATTGGACAAGGAAATGATGAGGTCAGAGAAATCCAAAAACAATAAGATAGCAAAATAATCAATTCCACTACAGGGTTATTCCATTTTAATTCAACAAATTTCCAAAACAATAATTTCTGCATTATCATTTTTGATTTTGAAGAAACTTGGCATGTGAATTACACATACCTTTCAGAGCTCAGAAACACTTTGAGATAGTGACTTTTCTACAACAAAAAAAAATGACAATACAGATTTTCCCCGCTATTCGAAAGTAATGTGTTCCTTATGAAACCTTTTGTAAGCCAAAACGACATAAAGCGAAGCAGCAATTACCATTAATTTATAGGGAAATTGTTAAGTGTTCCCAGACCCAAAAAATAACAAACCGAATCATACCTAACAGCAATAAAACCTCACATAAAACACTAAAATAGAGTAAAAGCAAGAATATGATAAATATACGGCCTCTACAAATTAGAAATAATTTAAATACAGAGTAGTGCCACCAAAATCTTTACAGTCATACATCGGTTAACGTAAGGACACATTCTGAGAAATGCATGATTAGGTGATTTTTGTCATTGTGCAAGCATCAGAGTATACTTACACAAACCTAGAAAGGCGTGCCTACTGTACACCTAGGCTGCATGGCATAGCCTAACCAATAAGTAGTAGTAAATACAATAAACCATTAACTAGCTGTTTATCATCAAGCATTACATACTGTACATAATTGCATGTGCTACACTTTCATACAACTGGCAGTACAGTACGTGTGTTTACACCAGCATCACCACAAACAAGTGAACAACGTGTTGCACCATGACATTAAGACAGCTACGACGTCGCTGGGCAATAGGAAGTATTCAGCTCCATTACAATCCTACGGGACCGCCATTATATTTGCCACGTGTGGTTGACTGAAGAGTCGTTATGCAACGCAAAACTGTCCATCTATAACTGGCTCATTGATAAACGCTAAATGCCATCTTTACTTTTCTCCTTTTTCGTAAGAAACGAAAAACTTCTTCAGACTTCCATTAGCTAGTGAAACCAGGTGCCAATGTGGGACTTTCATAAAAGTCAAGTAGCATAAAATGGACATTTATAAAGCGGGGAAACCTGTACAGTGTTATCCTATGAGCTTTAACTTTTTTTTTTTTTTACTATAACAGCTACATTGCTCAGCTATAGCATTTGTTTTGCAACTTTAGGTTATTAAAAAACAGTGAAAAGCTTGGAGTAACAAGTCAATTTCTTTATAATGAAATACACACACAATATGGACAAAAGTATTGGGACACCTGGTCATTACACCTACTGGACATTTTATGACATCCATCCCGTTCTAAATTCATAGGCATCAATATGGAGGTGCCCCCCCCCCCCACTTTGCAGCTATAATAGTGGCCACTCTTCTGGGAAGGCTTTCCACAAGTTTTTGGAGTATGTCTCTGGGAATTTTTGCCCATTTGTCCAGAAGAGCATTTGTGAGGTCAGGTACTGATGTTGGATGTGAAGGCCTGGCTCACAATCTCCTTTCTAGTTCATCCCAAAGGTGTTCAGTGGGGTTGAGGGAAGGGCTCTGTGCGGCCAGTCAAGTTCTCCACAGCAAACTCACCCAAACATGTCTTTATGGACCTTGCTATGTGCACTGGGGCACAGTCATGCTGAAACAGGAAAAGACCTTCCTCAAACTGTTCCCACAAAGTTGGAAGCATAGAATTGTCCAAAATGTCTTGGAATGCTGAAGCATTAAGAGTTCCCTTCACTGGAACTAAGGGGCCTAGCCCAACCCCTGAAAAACACCCCCATACCATTATCCCTCCTCCACCAAACTTTACAGTTGGCATAATGCAGTCAGACAGGTAAAGTTCTCCTGGCATCTGCCAAACCCACACTCGTCCATCAGACTGCCAGACAGAGAAGTGTGATTTGTCACTTCACAGAAAACACTTCCACTAAGAGATGCACCAATCCGATATTCGGATCGCTATTGATGCCGATCCAAACCTATATGTGGGTATTATATAAAATCTTGAACGGAGAGGGAGTGAAGAGTGTTCAATATAAGTAATTCATTAATACTCTACTAAAAGAAGAAACAATGTTCTGATAATGGATCTCAAACCCAGTATGTCCTATCTGGCATGTAACCCATGTTCACTCATACGCAACTACCTACTGTCGTCAAGCATCTGTCGAATTCAATGTATTTGCCCTCAGTGTCCTGGTGACAGAGTGGCCCATGTTTAGCTGGTGTAAACAGAGCGATTACTTTTCCAGCCATGTCATTTTACAGTACATATATAACTTATAATACCTATAACACTTGACAGTGATAAAACATCCATGTTACACATTTATGTATTTATGTTATATTAATGATAAAAGCACAGTAATGTGTAATGTGTCACACAAAGAAAAAGACACTGTTTTGTTTTGCTGCACAGGTACAGTACAGATGCAATATACCATTCATACAGTATACTTAATGTCTGCATACCATCCAAGTGGCCTAACGTCCTATTGGACAAAACAGAACCCAGATGTTAAGCAACATATTTACATACAATACTCCACACCCTTTAGGTATATTTTAAGCTATTTTTATGAAAGAACCAGATAAAAAAGAGAGTAAGATTAAATGTTCTATATACAAGGAGACTTACATATTTCATTACAAAAACTGACGTGTTACTTCAAGCCATTTTTAACAAAATAGTAAACTAAGTAGTAAAAAGAAAAAAAAAACCCTAGTTCACGAGATGAACTCTGAAATTCTGACCTTGAGGAAGCTTTGACTTACGGAAAAGTTAGATTTCAGCACATTATTAAAAAGGACTGTATCTGAGCTTTCTAGTGAGCTGTAGCTGAGCCAGGTAATTCTGACAGTAAAAAGATTATACCTCATAAGAAAACACTATGAAATATGATTTTGCCAGCCACAGAGTAGAAAAGGCACTACGTTGCAAGTGTTTTTTTTTTTTGTTTTTTTTTAAATAAACCAAAATATTTCTGAGCTCTGGAAGGTATGTGTAACTCACAAGCTATATGCCCTTAAAATCAAAAGTGTATATAGCAACTCATCACTCCTATAAGAAAATATACGCAGCGCCCCCGCCCAAGAGGCTGGGTGTATGACAACATTAAGTCAGTCACCAAAGGTTGCTGGCAGTTATTATATGTGGGCAGTGGGTACAACAGGGAGCTGTGAACTCTACTCCTACTCTGATTGGCATCTGGGGGAAAATCTAGTTGACACAGAATATTGTGATGAAAAATATTGATGAAAAGATGTTTTGCACAATAGGGATCACAGATTCTGGAAGATGAACGCCTATTATAAAATATTCATTTTGTTTCAATTATGCTGACTCTTTATACTCCATCAGCATGCTAAAAGTGAAACGGTGAATAAATGACACTTGCACTGTATACAATTATAATGCAGTCAAAATTCTGAGCATTTCTCTTTGATGGGACCAGTTTTATCTATGACATCTTGGCAGGTTAAATATTCTCATGTGAGCTGTACAATGGTGAATATCGGTGGGAGAGAGGATAAAGTTCAAGTGACATGCAAAATGAAATCACAACATGCCAATTAAGGCACAGAATACATAAGCAGTCATGACACAAACATATTTACAATGAGCCATAATCCCAATCATTACTCCTCTCCTGTATTGGCTGCATGAAAATCAGCAATGTTAGCACCTAATAGCTGACAAAACCTGCACTCAATATATTTAGACATCTGACTTAACCTAGGATTTATCATTGTAAAGGAAGCTTTATTTATAGCATATTATTAACATACCCGACATTTGGCAATCCAACAATTCCAATCTTCAAAGACGTCCCAAACCGTCCAATCAGTGGTGGTGGCTTTGGTCCATCACCTGTCTTTTTTGGAGGCATCTGAAAGAGACAACGTGATTTCAGTGCTTCGATGCAGACGCTGATCCTGCTACGCTCATCCTAGCTTCAAACTAACAAACAAACCTTTTTAGGAGCTATGTTTTCATACCACTGCAATACATTGACAACTATGAAAGCCACTTCCAATGAACTTGCGTTTTAAAAAAATCCCCGCTTAGTACAAATCGCTCCACTGGCTAGTAGGCAGCCACACAGAGCTAAAATAGACCGCGCATCTGTTAGACAAGAAAGATGAGACCGTGGCCTCCCTGGACTTCTATATTTAGTTACTATTTCGCTAACCAGCCGATAAGAACCATATTAAAACCAAAATGTATTTATGATAAGACTACAACATACACAAGACTACAAAATAATATGGAATATATATGGATACCGTGACTGATGAATATGATGAATTACTTACTACTAGTTGTTGTTAACATGCTAGCTATCTAAACCTGTGGAACACATAACCCAGACTCCACTATTTCTGGTAGCTGACGTTAGCTTTGCAGCTACCAGAAACATGGGTTTCTTAACTAGCTAAATTATGGCAGAATACATGATAGAATGCACAAATTTTATAAAACAATGGGTTTGGCGATGGAAACACTTTGGGTTCACCTTGAAATCTAATTAGCTGTCTTCTGGAAAAGAGACGAGACAGTAGTCGACAGGAACACGCGCTAACCCTAAGCAGGATGAATTAGAAAAGGAGGACGCTAGCGTGTAGACCGGAAGAGTCAGCAATCCTCGCCTTTTCATTGGATAAAATGTGTTGCGCTAAGCGTCTGCGTCATTGCGTAGAAACTAGAAGACGTAAAGACGACCCTTGCGATTGCCGGTGTTGTTGTTTATGACAATGTATCGTTATAACTTGCAGATGCTTGTAGTTTCGTGGTAAATACGTCTTGTACGAGGTTCATATATCTTACAGTAAACGTTAAGAAAGGCTTGCAATACAAAATTCTTTTTTTAGTTTTTAATTTATTTTGTTACTTTTGTATTGACAACATCGTAACAAGTACAGGGTTGCCAACTTTGGTCAGTTGGCTGGAGCGAGATTTTCAATTCGTGACAAGTCTGCATACACATGCACACGCATTTACATGTATGTAACAGTTTTATTACGTTGTAAATAATCTGTGGGCTTTGCAAACTACCCCAACGCTTTTGATGTAGCTAATTTTAGGTTTATAATGGAATAATATATGTATGCAGTAAGATTTCTTGTGTGAGAGTCTGAAAGCGTGAGTGTCGAATGTATATTAAATATATTCTATGCGTGTCAGAGAGATGATACACAAAATACGATAAAATTAAGTACTTCAACAAGTATAGCATTACGTTAACCAGTAGTGGGTTCAAATCCCAGGAAACATGTAAACTGTAACCCTTTACAACCCTTTACAATTTACTAAGTCGATTTGGATAAAAGCGTTGGATAAATTAATCTAAAAAGTAACATGAATATTACATTTATAATGAATATTACATTTATAGTGGGGGTATTTTTATTTTAAATCAACAAATTATATCTACTCGTGAATAGATGTGCTTTTTAACTTTTGTCCCAAAAAAGTGAATGCCATGTCAAGGTAAGAAGATATAAGGTAACAAAGTGTATATGTGGACATTATATAAAATCTTGAACCGAGAGGGAGTGTAGAGTGTTCTGTGTAAGTAATTTATTAATACTCTACTAAAAGATTAAATGTTCTGATAACGGATCTCAAACCCAGTATGTCCCTATCTGGTGTGTAATCTGTTTTCACTCATACGCAAGTACCTACTGTCGTCAAGCGTCTGTCAAATTTAATGTATTTGCCAACAGTGTCCTGCTGACAGACTTTTTAGTCTTTAAAGGGAAAATGTATAAGAAATTAGATAAAACGGTAAACAGTATACGCTTTTACGCCGTTTTTAATGGAGCCATATAATTATGACTAAATGGCATCATAGAAATACATTTTAACGTCTGAAAGAGGAAATAGTGTAACAAAGTAATTTTAACAACTGTCAGATCCCTCTAGTACATATTCTACTGCACATACAATTGTGCAATTTCAAAGGCTCATACATACTGAATTATACGGTATTTATCAAAATATCTTGCAAAATAATGTCCATTACTGAGTCGACTTATTAGGGGTCCGAGGAGTTTTGGATCCTTGGATTGTTTTTTTAACAATTTCTCACCTTATTTAGTACTTTTAGTCCAATCTTAGAACCACCCGCTAACAGTAAATTTACACAAATATTATGTATATATTATTATATTATATAATGCTATCAAATAGTTTTAGCTATAACTTTCTTAAAAGTATGGTTTAATAAAAGTTAAATAAATCAAAGTAACCAGTAGCAGTCAAATATAAAATTAGCATTCAGAAAAACTCTTTATGTAGTCATTGAACTCTGCGCCCCTGTTATTTATAGATGGTTATATTTTTATTGCCTCTATACATATGAAGTTTTATATACTATGCATCTAAATAAGCTAATCATGCGTTAACAGTCCTAATTGTGCTATTTATATGTGGCTTAATGCTTAGACTGACTGTATGCCATTTATTCGAAGTGGCATGAAAACCAAACTCTCGCAGATAAATTAATCTAATTGTAAAAGGACATATAACCTCTCTGTTTCACCTGCGTCGGAGAAATGAGCTGTGAAGCGCCACTGTAAACGTCCACATGATTCATGACATTTAGGCTACTCCACACTGAAATTGTACCTACTTCAATACAATTGTTAAAGGGACTACGTGCAGAAAAATAAATTGTACAGCGGTAGTTTGACGTATATCTAATAACAATTATAATTTGTTTATGACATGACTTGTTACACAATTTATTTTTAAATAATTCCAAAAATATTCACCTCAGTTTTCATTAATGCAGTACTGTACTGCACGAAGAAATACCACGCACACATATGTATGCATGTATATATGTATGTGTGTGTGTGGCCTGTATATATGTATGTATGCCTATTTTGTGTATTCTATTTAAATGAATGCAAATTTGTCCAGTCTTTGAAAATGTGCTATAAATATAGTGTATACTGTTTTACAATATAGCAAAGACAAACCAATTAAAATACAGGTATTTATATAACTCTAGCTGAGTTATGTTTTTTTTCCTTTACTGTGGGACACCGGTGTCGGTTTACAATTCACCAGCAATTCAGGTGGCGATTGAATTTTATAATTACGTGTATATTATAGGTCATATATATATATATATATATATATATATATATATATATATATTTTTTTTTTTTTTCATTGTTCGTTATAGCTGTTTTTATTAATATAGTTCAGTGGGCATGATAAGAGAAAATACAGCTCCATGATGAAGCATGCTGCGTAATACATTTGCATATGTAAATGTACACGTTTCTATGATTCAGCCTTGCCTAGTCTTCTAAGGAAAACAGAATGTATTACATGTACACAGATGAATCTCTAACGATACTTAAATAATAGTAGATACTTAATGCCATAATATCGTCTAGAAATCTAAATAAAATACCAGTGTAACGTGTTTTAATTATATTCCCAGAGACTGATTATTTCATAAAAGGTCATGTCAAAGTCAAAAGGGACGTACAGTGCAGTCAGTTTCTATGCATGTTTTAGAATATACTTGTGCTTGTAGGCTACTTGTGTTTATCGTAATACACAAGCATGACGCGTATAACGACTACATCTGGCATCGCTTTTTTAAACATCTGTTCGTTACATGACCTAGGAACCAATTTCGAACTTGTCCTATCTTATTTAATTACACGCGTTTAACACTTAAATCAAACCAGGCATTTTAAATTAACAGTTTATTATCACGACGCATTTTAAGATCATGCAGATTAGTCTTAATTGTTTACAAATAATTTATTTTTCCCCTGGAGGCAAATATCTAATTAGTCTGTTGAGTAACGAACTTTGGTTTTCACTTTGATATGCCTTAAATCCTACACCGTGGTTCGTTAAACATGCTTAAAACGAGACTGAAATAATACAGAAAAGGAGGAATGCAGAGGTTCTTTGTACGTAGTATCATAATGAATACGCTTGGATTAATCATTTATCTTTTGTTGCTTAACGTCGTGATGGATGCACCTTCTCTCAGGCTCAATACAATAGATGCCGAGCGTTTTGTTGTCAGCAAATAAATCATTGTAGTTGTTTAAGGTACATTGATCAATCTAATGCCTTTTAATAGGCTCCTAATTGCCATCATGGAATTGTCGGCTTGTGCCTGAAAATGAAGTGATAGGAAGCCATCCTATAGCACGTTAATTTCTTTATTACTCTGTACCCCTTTTGCTGATTTAGAGTAAAGTATTTATAGGGCTCACGTGTAGTGCTGGGAGACTCTCCGCCTGCTTTCTGTTTTACATTTAAACACGCATTTAACATTACATTTACCGGCATTGTTTCCCCAAAATTATATGTCTGTATATGTGTTTATGTATATGTATGTATATATATACAGGTATCATGTTTACGAGGTCGAGACCAAACTTGGCGTGTTTAAGTATGACTTCACGTCGAAACCTGCAGTGATATCACGCGACAGTAATTCGATTAGTCCAACATATGAAACAATAGCACACATGTTTGAAAAACATATTCTAAAATACTACTGGACACTAGATTGTCAGTACACAACCGAAAATTGCATTCCGGTTTTATTTTTTATTTTTTTGAGTGCATACAAGTATATGTTGTTCTTTGGTATGCTGCTGTTTTGGGCAGAGCTTTGCTCTTTTTCTGTGACAATGTTTTAAGGGGTAGGCCTACATGAACTTCCAGATGTGTGTTGACTAAGCTGGAAATAGTCTGTAATTAAAACCCTTCGCAGAGAACATTTATTGTCGTCTTGCGGACAAACGATCTGCTTCCTTTTATCTTCAAGTTAAAGTACCTCGACAAGAAATTTTAAACAGAAATCGGTCAGGTTGTGCACTGCTGTTTATTCCGGATTTGATTTAGTAGCTTATCCGTCGAACAAATCATTTACTTTCAATAGATTTAGAATATACAAACATGCAGTCGCCCACCCTATGAACCTACATATACATATTGCTGCACTAAAAGTGGAAACATTAGATGGCTAAAGCAAGATGATACACATACGCGTTTACCTTAACAGATACACACGCGCCTTTCGTTTCGTAAGGTCTGCATTT